TGATTTTGTCTTGTCTGTGGCTGTCCCTGTAACTGCCGTGAATGGTACGTCCGGGAAACGGTCTCTCAGTTCTCCGAGCCTAGCGTATGCCTTTCTGAAGTCTGCACCGAACTCACTGACACAATGAGCCTCATCCACTACAAACCGCTTCAATTTGGCCATAGCGTGGACTTCTAAAAGTGCCCGTGTCAAATCGGCATCTTTCTCTTGCTCACTGATTAATGTCTCTGGTGCAAGATATAACAATGTTATCATCCCTCGCTTTATCATATCTAGATAACATGCCTTCGCGTTAACTGTCAGCTCACTAGTATACTTGATAGCAGCGATGTCCTTACTGACTAATGTTGTTACTTGATCATGCATCAAGGATAGTAGTGGAGATATCACTACCGTGAGTCCAGATCCGATTGTTGCAGGAAGTTAGTAACACAAGCTCTTACCAGCCCCCGTAGGCATAACTGCCAAAATGTCACTTCCGCCGACAGCCGCTGTGCAAATAGCTTCTTGATCACCACGAAACTCTGCGTGCTTGAAAATGCGTTGGTTGGCGATCTTCAACAACCGAGATGCACTCATCCCTGTTCCATAACACCACAGAAAACCTACCCTTCATTCTCACTTACTTTTTATTTTATGATGTCACACAGTGATACCCCCGACAGGGGGGGGTCTGAAACCCTGCGATGCAGGAGCACACGTCCCGCCCTACGCGAACCCTACCCACTACCCTAAGAATGGGCGCCATAGGAGCATACGAAAGGCAAATTCACTTTTGAAAAGTGCCCCCTTTTCCTCACACCCGGCTCTACATAGCTATGTGCTCCGTTTTATGATGTCACACAGTGATACCCCCGACAGGGGGGGTCTGAAACCCTGCGATGCAGGAGCTCACGTCCCGCCCTATACGAACCCTACCCACTACCCTAAGAATGGGCGCCATAGGAGCATAAGAAAGGCAAATTCACTTTTGAAAAGTGCCCCCTTTTCCTCACACCCGGCTCTACATACCTATGTGCTCCGTTTTATGATGTCACACAGCGATCCCTTCGAAAGGGTGGGGTCTGAAAACCCTATCTAAAAGGCGCATGCATGGTCTCACCTGCTTTGCGCTACACATCAAAACAACACTTTACCATCTCCCCCAAGGCCCACATAGGCCAAAGGAAGTGAAAGTGAAGAGAAGTGAAGTACCCTTTTAAAACTTCACCGCCTGCTCCTCATCCGAGTTGCATAGCTCCCTTGAGGAAGGAGCTTCGAAACCCTATTTTGTGCAATGCACACGCCAACTCAATGTTCCGTGAATAAGAAACAAACATCTGCCCTAGAGCTGAAATACGCCACGGGACCTAAAAGAAGAGTGCAATACCTTTACAAAACAGTTTTATTTGCTCGGTTCCGAGCTCTGTAGCTCCCTCGAAGAAATATCTAAGATGACCAATTATCTGCAGTGCACAAGCCAGCCACAAACCGTGGTTAGAAAAGTTGACAAACATCCACCCTAGGGCTTACATACGCAAGTTAAACTGAAAGGGGGCACTCTAAGCTGCCGAAAACTTTTCGATTTGCTCGGTTCCGACTTGTGTAGCTAATGCTATGAAATATCAAAGATGCCCTAGGAACAGCGGAGCCTGTGCCTGCTCAATGTTCACACGTGAATAAGAAACAAACATCCGCCCTAGGGCTGCAATACGCCACGGGACCTAAAAGAAGAGTGCACTACCATTCCAAAACAGTTTCATTTGCTCGGTTCCGAGCGCCATAGCTCCCTCGAAGAAATATCTAAGTTGGCCAATTATCTGCAATGCACAAGCCAGCCACAAACCGTGGTTAGAATAGCTCACAAACATCCGCGTGTGGGCAAACGTAGGCAAGTTAACCTGAAAGGGGGCACTCTTAGCTGCCGAAAACTTTTCGATTTGCTCGGTTCCGACTTGTGTAGCTAATGCTATGAAACATCAACGATGCCCTAGGAACAGCGGAGCCTGTGCCTGCTCTATGTTCACACGTGAATAAGAAACAATCATCCGCCCTAGGGCTGCAATACGCCACGGGACCTAAAAGAAGAGTGCAATACCTTTCCAAAACAGTTTCAGTTGCTCGGTTCCGAGCTCTGTAGCTCCCTCGAAGAAATAAATTATCTAAGATGACCAATTATCTGCAGTGCACAAGCCAGCCACAAACCGTGGTTAGAATAGCTCATAAACATCCGCGTGTGAACAAACGTACGCAAGTTAACCTGAAAGAGGGCACTCTTAGCTGCCGAAAACTTTTCGATTTGTACGGTTCCGACATCTGTAGCTAATGCTATGAAACATCAAAGATGCCCTAGGAACAGCGGAGCCTGCGTCTGCTCTATGTTCACACGTGAATAACAAACAAACATCCGCCCTAGGTCCAACATAGAACACGGAAACCAAAAGAGAAGTGCAATACCTTTCCAAAACAGTTTCATTTGCTCGGTTCCGAGCGCCATAGCTCATGCAACGAACTAGCGAAGATGACGTTCACGTGAATTAAGTATCGCAATCTTCTAGAAGCCTACGCGCTTAAGCTGACGTCCTTGAGGTTGCAGTGAGAACTCGCCGCAGAAAACAAAAGTTACTGATATTATGAACAAAATATTCAACTCTCAGACCATAAACATATCGGCATCAAGATAGAGCCAGTCGGGAGCGAAATACGTTGTTGAGCTGCCCACTGCCGAGGTCCGTAAGAAAAAGGTAGACATTTATCGTCTAAATTCTGGCTTTTGACGAGAAAGACCAGAGTTTAGACGAGCTCCACAATCATCAAGTAACGCAGCCCTCGAGTCGAATCGCGGGTAGCCGCGCGAAGCGCGGCTCGTCTAAACTCTGGGGACGGGAGGTCCGGTTATACTGTTCTACTTCTGCAGCATGACGGTCGGAGGTCGCACTAAACCGAAAGCGAATGGAGAAAAACCATTTAAAAATACAGCAACAGGAAACGCTTGTCTCACTACCTTCCGAAAGCCATTTTTTCGCTGGATTTTATATCGATTTCTGAGATAATCGAAAGACCTAAAATTTTGAAACAGGATGTTATTTTAACAATTGGCAGCGTGGCCTAATGGATAAGGCGTCGGTCTTCGGAACCGAAGATTGGAGGTTCGATCCCTCCCGTTGTTAACACTTTTCAGCAGAATTTACCACCCTCAAATGACCGAATCATGTCAAGATGCCCGAGTGGTCCAAGGGGTTAGACTCAAGTTCTAATAGTCAGTAGACTGCGTGGGTTCGAACCCCACTATTGATTAAAAGAAAATTCAATATATTGTCAGCAGTATCAAGCCATGCGGCTTAGATGCGCATGCCAATACTTTTAAGGAGTCTACTGAAAGCGATCCCCCATAAGGCTGCCAGCGACGGAAAGCACACCAAACATCCACGTGAGCGTTCAGATTCCTCTGTCGAAACAAGAACCATGAGAAACGATGTGCCACACAACGAATCTACCTGGTATCTGATCGTATCTGATTATTAATGCGTGCCATTCGGTTTGGCGAACTTCAACTTGCAACTTTCGTCTTCCCGCACTTTCGGTTTGTAACCACCACCTCGACCGCTACAGTCTCCCACACACCCGTCGTCTCTCTCACTCTCGTTCCGTTTGTATAAAATATATCTCGCACTTTCGTTGTGTATAACAAAGCTACCCCTAGGCTAGCTACTAGGTACAATCGAAGTCGCCAAGTGCAGTGCAGTGTCACTCATCAGTGCAGTGTCACTCATCAGTCATCACTCGGTATACATGTGTAATGTCATGTCATGTCATCACTGATCAAGGCGGGAGGACTTCTTGTACGGCCGTACCCCGGGAGAACTTCGAGAATGGGTGGAGAAGGAACACGGAAGGAGGGTGGCGGAGAAGCTTGGCCGGAAATTGAGGCCGTGGGTCACGGAGTTTTTCTTTAGTGTATGGTGCCAATATAACAAAAAATGGTAGAGGGGGAACACGAGTTCGCGAGCCGTATCCAGAAGCAATATGGGATCTATGCGGGTGATTTGAGGAGATACTGACGGGAAGAGCGCGCGCCCGACTACGATGGGACAGGACCGTACGGTGGAGCCGGAAGAGGGACAGTCGGAGAGGCGAGAGGGAGTTTGTGATCGACTAGATTCGAATCTGGAGGGGGACACGGGGGGAGACGTAACCGGTATCTTGACACGGCAGGTGGAAATGGGGAATGCGGACATGCCAACCGAATCTAACCGCACACCACCGCCTCGTATCCATTTTCAAAATGATTGACACGCCTTGCAATATCGGAAAACCGAATTTTGAACGTCCTTTGAATATCCTTGTAGAGTCTTAGTACCGCTAAACACCTACTATAGTAAAACCCGCACGAGGTCATAGGCACATGGGTTCTTGATAGTTACTTACTAGCATATTCATGGATGCATCCGGAGCACCCCCTCTTCTTGGACGTCCCACCCTCACCCCCGGTTTTCAGAGCACACCCATTGGCTTTGGTATTGCTATGGGCTTACGCCAGACTTTGGTGGGCTTGAGGGGGGTGGGGGAGGGTGTGGCGGTTGACGGGAGGGGCGTGGGAGCAGGGGGTGCCGACCATTATGAGCGCGGAGGTTACCGATTTGACGCAGTAGTTAGTCTCGACTAGTGGGGGAGGATTGGTTGTCATGGCGGCTGCTGCAGAGTTAGATTAGTCCGATTCTCCATGTATGTGCTAGCAGGGGGAACTTTTAGGATAGGGACTGCCCTTGACCCTGTATGGTAGCCGGGGGCGAATTGGCTCCCCGGGGTAAATTAATTTAAGTCATCACTGATGATGACGAGGTTCGTCGACGGTTCGACGGTTCGACGGTTCGACCCCCCCCCTCCCCCCATGTTTGAGTCCTAAGAAGTTGGAATGCGGGTATCGCTGCCGCTACGGCCCTTTCTCACATATACAGTGACGCGTAATCTGATTGTTGTGTATTCTAGTTTGGGATCAGGCGCACGCACATTCATCGATTGGCAGCGTGGCCTAATGGATAAGGCGTCGGTCTTCGGAACCGAAGATTGGAGGTTCGATCCCTCCCGTTGTTAACACTTTTCAGCAGAATTTACCACCCTCAAATGACCGAATCATGTCAAGATGCCCGAGTGGTCCAAGGGGTTAGACTCAAGTTCTAATAGTCAGTAGACTGCGTGGGTTCGAACCCCACTCTTGATAAAAAGAAAATTCAACATATTGTCAGCAGTATCAAGCCATGCGGCTTAGATGCGCGTGACAAAAGTTTAAGGAGTCTACCGAAAGCGATCCGCTTCACCATAAGGCTGCCAGCGACGGAAAGCACACCAAGCATTCGCGTGAGCGTTCAGATTCCTCTGTCGGAACAAGAACCATTTGGTTCTGCGACAATCCGTATATACTTGTCGCATATCTTGTTGCTAAGCTATCCTGTCGTCTTCCAGGTTTTGTGTTGATTGTTTTGTGCTCGTATACAGTTCAAGGTTGTGCTTACGCGAATGTGAAAAGAGACGAAACTTGTTGGGCTCAAAATCGAGAGATACAGGCGATTAAGGTTTTAGGTTGGGCTTAGGGCAAGATTACCGGATTGGGGTCGCGACGAATCCGAGAGACCGTAAGATGCCGAAATTTACAAGGTGTCCCAACTAAAACTGTATGTACCCGTCGTAAGGGTGTGGGGGGATGCTACAAGTGCCATACGCCACACTACGTACATCTCATGTGCATTCATATCACGGAATACTGAGAATGGCGAAGCACCGAATCTATATATGGGTTAGCGCGGGCGAGTACCGACAGTTCTGCCACTCATACATCGATTTCCTCCTTATTTGAATTTCAAGATGAGCGCGGCTCTCAGGGTACACTTTCGAGGAAATGAAAATTTCAAAAATTCTGACTGGCCAGGCTAGGTATCGATGTGGATGGTTACGAAATTAGCTGGCTGACTCAAGATAGCGCGATCCACTGTTCTTAGCGATTTCATAGAACGCTGACGCTGGTCGGAGGGGGGGAGGGATCCAACTTGAAGATTATCGCTGGCTGCCCCCAACTATTCGATTTCTTATCGGTGGCTGTTTACTGTACCCGTAGCTTGACCGTGATTACGATGCGTACACGCCCCCATCCCGTGCGGCCCTCAACAACTTCCATCACATGTCCGCTCGCGCAGTGGCGCCCACAGGCGTCCGTCTCAGGTGAGCCACCTACGCACACGGCGTTGTCTAGCCAACCATGTCTAGCAGAATATACACAAACAGTGTAATGGGTCCACGACCTAATCCGAGAAATTGGCCAAACCCGTGTTGCTAATAGGGTATCGCGTTCCCGGATGACTTCACAAATCGTACCGGACGTTTCGACGGTTTTCTTCCTCCTCGATGGTCCGTAAACACTCTATTGGGGCCTTCGACCTTGCTATGATTTCAGGGCTATCGGCGGCTCTCCCCAAAATTTCCCATGGCGACGGTGGCGCCATCCAATCTCGGACTAGGCCTACTGGATTATACTCGGACATCGGCGTATCTTAGATACGCGAGAACACGGTTGGATTTGGATGCCCACGGTTTGCCCTCAAGGGTGGTGGGGGACAGCACGCCCCACTCTGAGTCAAGCCCCCCACTCCTCCGTTCACCAGCACTGGCAATCGTGAGGAAGCAGACGCATTATCTGCAATCTCCAACTGAGAATGTATTTGCTGCATTGTTGGTCTTGATGACGTAATGAAATGATTCAGTACGGTCGACAATTTTAGCCGATGCAGACAACCCGATCAAGCAGCAATCCACATTCACTTATAAATCGCCAAATTAAGCTCTCTGTTCTCGTGTGTTCTTTCGCTTTCATGACAGATAATCACTTTGTAAGTCTGAGCTAAGAGAATGGTATTACTGGAGCAAAATGTTGTAGTCGATGGTTGCACCAGAGTAGGGCCGGGAAATTAATATACGCATACGCCCAATGGGTGTGGGTTTTTCTTTTTCGTTGCACGGTATCACACATCGAGAGATGTCATCTACAAGAGCTAAATTGAGTCCGAGAGCGGCTATGTCAGATACTTGCAATCCAACAACTGTGTCACAAGGCAAACGTCGACCCCACCATGAGAGGAAGCTACCATATAGGAGGTCCCATCACGGGGAGGCAAGTCGCTAACACAGTCGGTCCCACGGGCCGCGCGGACTAAGCGGAGATCAACGAGTTCGCCAAGTTACCACACCTTGAGCAAGAGTACGATTCCTACCACGTGCATCGGCAAAGAGATATTGTTTTCCTGATTTTGTCAGTGACACTTCGTGGTACTGCCTTATCGCTATACCATGAAACCGTATCCACCGTATCCACCCCGCCGACATCTGTGATAGTTTTATCTGTTCGTTCATATCTGTTATCAAGGATTATTTTGACTCAACAGCAGTCCAAATTACCTATGCTAATCGCCCAAGCTAAACCAATATTCATCATACGGTAATAGTGCACCGAGGGGAAAATGTTGAGAAGCGTCGCAAAGTTATGGAAACAGATCGTCAGTAGCAGGTCGACATGATGTTATCCATAACCACAGCATGCGATAGAGGAGCACACAGAATACTGCTCAAGGGTTCATCAACAGAGACATGTCGCCCCAGATGATGCCCACTGGTATCGATGCGCCACAATCGTACCGCTCTCAAGCAGTGTGCTTTGCTTCCGGACGCGCCATGACCGCAGTGTCATCAATTCTTGCAGAAGGGTTTGCCTGCAACATATATCAGGCACGTGACAAGCCAACTTTTCTAACAGGTGACAACAGATGGCATAGTTTCAATACTGGAACATGATGTGCGTTTTCAGTACCAGGGCTCAGGGCTAGGTCGAGGAATACCAGTGCATATGCAGGTCCTGAGGACAACGGCTCGCCGCCTTCATCCTTGGGGCCGCTGACCGAGGAATCACTTGTCCTTTCAAAAGGCTGAACCTACCGCCACCCCCAACCACAATTCACCGCCGCCACACCGCATGCGGAGAACTGAGGACCAGCAGCAGCAAGTCGGATCCCACAACCTGCAAAGAACAACGAAGTGTGTATGGATGCATGGTTACGATGCTCATGTGGGGAGGTGCTTCCGCATTGGATGTATTCACTCACCATCGTGCACGTCCTCTCTCAATCACACAAAGTTGACATTACATACGGAGGCAATGTTGGATGGGCAGCTGCCAGGATGTAGCCAATGAGAGTGGAGGTTTCGTAACAGTGGCATTATTGAGCATCTTGACCGGAGGCTTTCACCTGATTGGCTGAATTCGTCTCCCAGGCCTTCGGCACAGGCTCGGGAGTCAAGCTCTCAGGGTCCGGGCCCCGCCCGACCAGTGCAAAGAGCTTCTCTAGTGTGGCCTGCGCCTTCCCACAAAACCATAGCCGTTTGTGATCCATCTGCGCCGTGGAGCCATGTCACATGGCACGAGCAGTCGTGACACAGGCGGCAGTTACGAGCCCTTTCATAGTAGCTATCAAGCCAAATTGCGGATGCCGGGGGCGGGGCCTAGATCACGGGGAGAAGTGCCCAACAAGGCGGGGCAAACGATGCTATGGTAGGGCACCGAACGGGTCGCAGTTAAAGAGGGCAACTGTGGGGGATTGTGTAGCTGCTGAGAAGAATGCCATGGCGTGGCGACATGCGCTGCAAGGGCATGCCATAGTGCTGCGGCGCACAGCACATGGACACGGGTGTGGCGAGTGCAGGTACGCTGAAGGAGGCCTCCCGCGTGACATGGCGTTTGTAATGAAAACAGCCTCGCGCGCACCTGGATGGAGTCGAAGGAGGGCCGTCTCGTTGCATCGGTGTCAGTGCACTCAAGCTGCTCAAACCCATCACCCCACCACACCCTGGCGCGTCATGCAGCTACAACGATCAAGCCAACACACAAGTCGGCAGCCATTTTGATGTCAACAGTCTACAACCTGAGAAATCTCACACTTCGATTCCATGACCGAGGTCGGGACACCTCCGACGCTGCATCCGACTGTAATCTATGCAGAGTTGTGCAAACTGGCGGCCTGCAGCGCAAAGGCGGCTCGCGCGGCAGCTGGGTGGAGCGCGTACCTGCAGCCGGTGCAGGCCGAGCAGTGCTTCCCCGGAGTCCCGCCACAGCGCCCGCGTGCTTGGGATCTCCATCAGCGGCGGCGGCCTCTCCCCCTTCATCACGACGGCATTAATCACCTGGAGCACGTTGCTGAAGTGTGCGAAGGGGCGCTGAGCCGCCACCACCTCCCTGCAGGCCGAACCCCCTCGCTCCCTCATCCCAATCGGTTGAGCGCACGGGGACAGTTGAACGCCGGCGGCGCATCGTCGTGCGTGAATTAGCTCGACGAGGCGACATTCAGCGACAAACCTATGAACAGGAGACCAATCGGATGCACTGGAGGGAGAGGCAACTCACTGGGAGCAGTGACAAGGCCAGGGCCATCGTGTGGGCCCGTCCGCGTCCGCTGTCGACCATCATTGATCGCAGCACGCCGACCAGTGAGCTGCGTGAACAGGGATCAGGATCGTGCAACCAGGGCCGGACACATTCGGGCAGACGTCCGACAAAGTTGCGACGGACATCAGGAATCGCGTTTAGGGACATCGCGCCCGGCAAAATGCGTGTACCCGATAGAGGCTATCGAGTTTTTGTCCGACTCGTGCGCACTCTTCTCGCCGCATTCTGCGCAATCTGTAATCTGCATCGCTCGATTGTTTAGCAGGATATTTTCATGGGCGGGCATCATTTCGCGGACATGTCTTGGGCATCCACGTCAGGTGGTGGATAAGATGGCTCTTGTGCACCAGTTCGCCTTTCGTTTGTTGGGGCTGATGTGGTGACGCCACTGTGGCATCCCGGACTTCTACGATTGGCAGAATCTAGATCAACCTGCCTGCCACGGAGGCGTCCATGGCAGCGGAAACCTGATTATTTTCATTGCACGGGTGCCCGATGTCCGCCGAGTTCCAAGGGCACGCGCGGACACAGACACCGCACGGCGGACATGCCCATGCAACGGCCCTCAAGGGGGCGCAAGGGTCAGCGGCAGCGACCCGCTTCCGCACATCCGAGGACAGCAGGAAGCCGCAAGGGGGTGCAGGAGCGAGCACATTGGTACGGAGAGGAGATGGGCAGTCAGCTGCACCGCACCATAAGATCATCCCGAACGACCACACGTCAATCTTCTCGGTGTA